TTAGTGTGATAATTATGAGAGTAGAAAAGTTTAGAAATTTATAATTATGGTGGTGTATATATAATTTATATATATTAAAAATTCATAATAAGTATACTAATAATAAATATATGAATAATAATAAAATTAGTAATAATATAACAGAAATATTATATATTCATAAATATTAACAATAAAAATACTGAAAAATTGATTAAAAAATCAAAATTATTTAAAAGTTTAAATATGTACAATATGTACAATAACAAATAAATGTACATTTAACAAATAAATAAAAATAGATGTTTAGTTAAAATATTCATAAAGTATATATTAAATATAAAAACAAAACTTTTTTAACGTTTAATTAAACAAATTAAATTCTTTTAACTTTACAAAAAATTCTAAAATAAAACAGAGTCTAATTTCATAAAAAATATAAAAATACAAAAAAAAAATAAATAAGTAAATAAAAAGATATTGTTATTTTTTTTTTAACTAAAAAAAATATAATATAATAAAAATAATATATAAATAAATATCAATATTTACAAAAAAAAAATACCATTTTAAATATAAAAAAAAATCAAATTACCTAAAATAAATTTAAGTTCGTTGAACTTAACATAAATTTCCATAAGTTCTCAGCACATTTTATGAAGCCAAAACTTTAGTTATTAGCATAATTTCTAGCAGTGTATTATATTGTAAGCCCCTCTATAAACGGTTCACACAGCGCGATATCCAACAATAACAATAACAACAACTAGTTGAAGCTTCAACGGTTGCAAATAAAACAAACAACAAAACGCACAACGGAAACTGAGCACGAGTCAGCTAAGGGGCGTAGCCGCAGGGGGCGTTGGTCGCTTATAACAGACGGGGACTTCGATGGGCCGGAAAGTCGCTCACACACCCACACACAGGCATACACACAGTGAGAGTCGTTGATTTGCCGGCGCTGATTAGAGGATTTGTTAATGCGCCTTTAATGCACACAAACTCAGAGCTACAGTGGCTACCATAATTTGCCTCGCCTACTGTCGCCATATCTGCGGCACTGCATCATCATGTTGATCATCATGATCGGCATCATAATGAGCCCAACGACAATGCAATTAATTATAAAAATTCGCAACAATTTATTTGCGTTGCCTTATTTATGTATATGAATGCTGCATGCCGCCTCCAGTTGCACGCTCAGCCCCTTGGCCCTCACCCCTCTCTTGTTCGCTGCTTTTTACCGCCAGCACTTAAGCCTAATTATGTTCGATTGTTGCCATTGTTCACGCACCTTCCTCGCCTGGCCAGGCCGCATGCGCGCTCTCTGATCGAGATCAGCAGCCGAAAGATCCAAAGGCGGCTGCGTTGGAGTTGCAGCTGTGTGGTGGCAGTGTGAGAGAGTGAGGGGGGAGAGTGAGTTAGGTATACCGAGAGACCGTGCCTAAAGATGCTCTGAAAACCCATTTCGAATTTGGCATTGTTTGTCGTGCTCTTGTTGTCGTTGTTGTCGTTGTTGCCTGTCTTTTGGGTGTGTTGTTTTTCGGTTGCCTTTAGCTTTAACGTTGCCGTTGTCATTGTTGTTTTTGTTGTTGTTGTTATTGTTGTCGGTGTGTGCTTAAATTATATGCTTTTAAAAAACGTTTAAGGATTAATTGGATTATATCGTTTTTTTTGTTTGCTTTTTTTTATTATTTATTCGCCATTGAATTCTTAATAAGCTTTATTTAAATGAAACCGAGACGAGCTCTACACATAAATAAAGTTCTATAACTGATGATAACTTTTTCTTCATATAGTTCACTTATCTACAAATCTTATATATGTCTGCAGTTAACCAAGCTAACAACTCAAACCGCAGCCAACTGTAAACAGTAAAAAAATCAATTACAATCTCCAAGAGAGAGAGAGAGAGAGAGAGAGAGAGAGAGAGAGAGAGACGGAGACACTTGCCATAAATAATAAAGGCCAAAACCGGGGCAACCGAGAGTGTAAAAGGCCGCCGATAGAAATCTTTACGAGTCCCAAAAACTATTGTGACCAAACAGACAATCAAACAAAGCCTCAGACCAAGTCCGAATCCGAATCCGAGATGGAGTTGGAGTCGGTGTTGGAGTTGGAGCCCGCACAATTTTGATTGCATTTTGATCGACAGGCAACGTTAACGATGCCCGGCCGTTGCCTTTTTTCTATGGGGCCGAAGCTGCTTATAAAATCATAAAGAAACACTAACAAACTCAAAAAAAGCCCAGGCAAAGCCCCAAAAGCATAGCCAAAGCCATAAGCTGAAGCCGCTTAAGATGGAACAGCAACGCAACTGGGCAGGAGGCGGCGGCAGAGGCAAGATAATGTTGGCCAAGTGGCGGGCGGCATAATCAGATGTATTTGATGCGCCAGCCACAGTGAAGTCAGCTAGAAAGACTGAAACCGAGATTTAGAGGGAATCTAGTGTTGGCTTTCGTCTTTATAGCCAAAAAATAAATAAGTTTGTTTTATTTATGCAATAATTTAATTATTTATTTAAAAAAAAATATTTAAAAATTATTTTTAAAAATATTATTAAATAAATAATTCTTTATTTTGTTTTATTTAATTTAATTTAATTTATTTTTTTTTTATATTTGTTTTAACATTTTGTTTTTATTTGAACTAACTTTATTTATATTCTATTTTATTTAATATATTTTAATTTTGTTTTATTTATTTGTTTTATTTTATTTATTTATTATTATTATTATGTTTTTATTTATTTATTTATTTTTTTTTTTTTTTTACATTTTATCTTATTGTAGTCTATTTTGTTTTATTTGTTTAATGCTTTTATTTTTTAATATCACTGTTAAATATTATTAAATATTATTAAATTTTTTAAAATTATTTAAATTATTTCTTTTTTTTTGTATTTATTTATTTTTTTTATAACAACTATTTCAATGTTCAACTATAAAAACTCTTTAAAATATTCCAGTTCCTCTCATAGCAGGCATTACTGTACCCATTTATATTGAACGCACAGCATAGCTCTTGCTTTTAAGCCAATTTTACCTGCTGGCCAAAGAAAATAAAAATAAAAAAAAAACTATCTTAAAATCATGAATGCACTCAGAGCTCCATTCGAACCACTGGGAAAGGCAAAGCAAATGATTTGTGCGCATATTTTCTCAGTTTCTTTTCAAACTTTATTTATTTGGATGGAAAGGCAAGGCTGGCGATTCGTTTCATTTCATTTTGAATTTGGTACGCATCGATTTCGAGATTTTCCGATTTGAATTTGCATTTATATTAAGTTTAGTATTTCGGGCTATAAAGGCGTCACGGACTGTAATTGCCTTGATTGATATGCATTTTGTTTCTTCTTCTTCTTCTTCTTCAAACTCTTTAGCTAGTTCACTCACACATGACAGGTGAAAGGCTTTCACCTGTTGTTCAGCTAGCCCAGTACGCCTTTAGCCTTTAATACAATAATATATAGTTAAGGGAGTGTGTGAAGCCAGTTCGGCATATGTATATGTGATTTATCATTTTGAGGAAATCTCAGCCAAGTCTACGTGCTGGTAATTTTTTATGATCCTCATCAGCGTCAGACGGCTTGAAATTGGCATTGTAATCGACATCATCTTTGAGCTGCATAGCCATAACGAAATCTGAGCTAAGCAGTAAGTGAGACGCCCTCACCTCAGACCGCTACACTACCCCACCCCTCCCCCACCCCACCCTTCACTTCTCTCTCTTTATACTCCTCGCTTGGAATCAAAACTTCTCATGCTCATCTTCTGGTACGGCCCACGGCTCGATGCTCTTCCGTCTTATCGAACTTTAATAATCTGACATTTTGAGTTTAAATGAGTCGTCGTCGTCGTCGTCTCTGGTTCGCTGACTAACTGCTCGCTCTCGGCTGCTGCTGCTCAATGGGTTTGCATTTAATATGACGCTTAATGCTGTTGATCCGACTTCAGTTTGACACTTTTGTGGGCAGCCCAAGTCTGACAGACAGATCGGATTGCTCCTCTGCCTGCCTGGTTGGCTGAGTGTGGCACAAGTGTCAATCAATGCCCACTAAATGTCGTCCATTGAGGAAATGAGTTTCATCCGCATCAGCCGAGGGCGTTCTATAAAGTCAATTATGGGTCATATGCGCGGCTAATGCACTTAATGCAAGCGAGATTAAGTCGTTGACTGACAATTAAAATGGCAATTGACTGGGAGATGGAAAGTGTTTATTACAATGACAATCGGTAGAAGAGTCAAGTGTGATTTAACCAACATGAAATCGAATATGCTTTGATATATTTATACTTGTATTTTTCTTGGGAATTACTTTGGGTATAACATGATCGAGAATTTTTAAAAGAATTTTCTAAAAGAGATCAGGGATAAGATGGAATGACAATCAGAGTTGGAAATAGGCAGATAGTTTACGTGAATGCTGAGATCGTTGAATGAGATAGCAAAGGAAGGTGAAGCTGCAGGAAAATTTGAAATTGAAATTGAAAATTCCACATAGCTTCATGAACTGCTTCATTGCATGGATTCATTGCCTCATTGTTTCAATATTTAACTGATTAATTGCTTCATTGCCTCATTACTTATTGTTTCATTGCTGCATGACTTTTTCCTTTACTGTTTCATTGCTGCATTCTTTCATTGTTTCATAGATTCATTGCTGGCCTGCTTTACTGATCCATCGCTTTCTTGATTCTTCGCTTCATTAATGTATTGTTTTATCTCTTCCGTTTTCTAGTTTTCTTGATACACTGCTTGATTGCTTCATTGTTTCATTCATTCATTACTTCGTTGTTTCAAAGCTTTACAGTTTCATTGCTCTTTGCCTTTACTGTTTCATTGACTACTATTTCATTGTTTCATAGCTTATTTTCTTTACTGTTTCATTGCTGCATTGTTTCATTGCTTCTTTCATTCATTGTCCCATCGCTTCATTGCTGCACTGCTTTACTGATTCATTGATCCATAGATTCATTCCTTAATGCATTGTTTAGTTTTGTCCCTATTAGCTTGCTTACCTGATACATTGCTTCAGTGACTCATTATTTCGTTGTTTCATTGTTTCATCATTTCATTCATTCATTGCTTCACTCCTTAATAGAAAACATATTGACTCTACGTAGATTTAGATCAGTCGATTTAAAGTCTGTAAGAGCACATATAAATATATTTTAATATAAACCTTTACAAACTTCGACTTTACTTCCTCTAAACCTACGCAAGCTCCATTTATCCCCATATACCTCTATATACCAATCCCTATATATCCGTAAATCCACAATAAACTGCATGAAATTGAGTTTCATATATTCGCTTACCTCAAAATATGCCCACAAATGTAATGAAATGTGAACACCCCCCAAATGTAAGTCAGTTCACAACTTTCGCCCCACACTCAAAAAACAATAAAACTCCCCAAGTAATCAGAAAGTTGTTGTGGAAAGTGAGCATATCAGGCCGTAAGCTAAATGCCATTTAATGAAATATGCAAATGAATTTATATTATTATGCACCAGGGTCTGCCTACCCACCAATCTACCTATGTATGTCTCATCAGCATCAAGCGGGCGAGCGAGCGAGTGACTGCTATAATCAAAACAAACCTATAATTTGTTTTAACAAGTGAAACGCCCCAAGTTTCATAATTTATCCCTCACATATTGAGAGGGAGAGCGAGAAAGACTCGGCGCCAGCGTAAGAAAACTGCCAAGCAGCTGGGAAGGGGGAGCTCATGAGCTGGGCTCCCCTTCTTGAAAATGAAGTCGCAGAATTGGTGCAAGACAATTTGCATTCTGTATTTTCCCCCCCCCACTTCAAGTGTTTCATGGAATTTCCGCTACCCAGAAGCACGGAAAGCGAAAGCTGAAAGATGCCTGACATTCTGCTAGTTCATTAACTCGGTGCCACAGCGTTGCCACCTTTCTGGCGGGCAGACAGCAGTCAGCAGTCATAACAAAATCATTGGCTCACCTCACAGACAAATCAATTGAGTTGACCTGCGTCTAGACAGCGTGGGCCCCAATCGCCGCACACGTGCCAAGAAATATTTGTGGCTTAAATGTTATACAATTTTAATTATAAGAATTGTAAGTCTAGCACAAAAACAGGCCATAATCTAATCAAAGAAATTATCAAGCAGTCAAGACAAGAAAAAAAAAAATAAAATAAAAATAAAACAACTAAAAAGTGAAAATGCAATTATTATTTCAATTAAAAATACGCAACTCTGTTGCATTGCTATGGAAACTATGCCAATGGAGAGACGCATAAAAAAGAAATATTGAATTAAATACCAGACAGTGGCAATAAAAAGATGAGAGGGAGAGGGCGAGGGCGAGCAGATAGAGACCGAGAGGCAGAGAGGGAGAGAGGGCTAGGGCGGGAGCGTGCGGTCTCTGGCAGCCCAAAAAACAGCTTCATTTAAATGGCACGCAAGGGACCTCTGGACACTTCGCTGCTTGCCAAACCATTTTTCCGCTTTTCCCATTTTCATTTCCACTGCGTACATAATGAAAAAACACAAGCAAAAATGTTGCAGTCAGGCTTTACCGACTGCACAATACTTGTTCAGGGCGCAAGAAGAAAAGAATTTGTTTTTTTGGTAAGGGAGTACGGCAGGTAGAGCTCCATTACATTATGAGGTATATTTTTTCAGATTATGAAGAAGGTATATATTTAATTGTAATACTCTAGCATTTAAAAAAATAAAATTTCCCCCAGTGGAAGTATTACGAAAATCCTAACAACAAATATTCAAAAGTTCAAGCCCCAAGCTGCAGCAGCGGATAAACGGACTGACAGATGGACTGACAGACGGACGTATGGAGTTAAACCCTCCTCGATCATTCACTCCATCGGTTATTTTTACACTCGGACGAGTATTTCACAAAACCTATATACTCTTTTCACATTCTGATTGAGCATAAAAACTTCACACACACAAATACCGACAAAATGTTGAGCGCGTATTAAATAGTTGCCATTTTTTGCGCTCACTGTACGTGCGTACACTCTCGCTATCTCACTCTCGGACTACCCCTCTCTCTCACACACAAACAGTTTTTTTTTGCCCTGCTGTCTGCGCCTTGGGGCCTTTGCTTTGCGCTCCGTTACGTATTCGGTTCATAGAAGTAAATAATTTTCAGGTTCAAGTGGCATATAATTTTTTATTTTTTTTTGTTTTTTTTGTTTTTTTGGCCACCCACGCCGAAACTCGACAAATTGCATCCATAGGCATTTAAGTGTGTGTGTGTGTGTTTATGTTGGTGTTGGTAGTGGAGGCGCCTACATAAATAACGCCATTAAACATGTTCGGCGATGGGCAACAACGTTTCGTCCTCAGTTCCGGCTAGCCCGACGCTCTATGCGTCCCTGAGCTCCATTTTTATCAGCCGCCCATTTCAAGTTTCTAAACAACATACTTTTTTCTTCCACTCTCCCTCTCTCTCTCTCTCTCTTTCTCTCTTTTCAATGGCAACAACTCCTGGCAATGTTCTGGTCTTGGCGCAGGAGCTGGTCTGACTGGTGTCCTGGCTGGCTGGCTCCATTCATGTCTGCCATATATCAAACGAGCCAGCTCATGTGTCTGAGCCCTGTCGTGCGGTTGCCTGACTGCCAGCCTGTTTAGTGTCCTGGCCAAGTCCCCTGGCCCTGGGTACTCTCACCACTGCTGCCATCCCGCCCCCTGCTTCTCGGCTTAATTGCCAAATGTGTTTAGGTGTGGTTTTCAGCCATGTGCCACAGCACAACATCCAAACATCCGAACATCCGAACATCGCACAGCAGCTCGCTTTGGCCGCTTTGCCCCATTGTTCGCTCCGCTTCTTTGGTATATTTTTCTGCACGTTTCGCCAGGGTAAGAGAATTAAAAATACGGCCAGAGCCAAACGGGATTGAGCATGGGCCATGGAATACACGCCGTGTGCTATACACATTCATAGATCTCCCTCTCTCTCTCCCATTCTCCCTCTCTCTCTTTCTCTCCCACTCGAGCCAAGTGCAACGTTCCAACAGCTGTGGCCCGTTCGCTCGTTCAATACATCGCTTGAATTTGCATGTTTGGCTGCCTCTCGAACGTTGAGCCGGGGCTGCCTATTCAAGTTTTATGGCTGCCATTTGAGAAGTATCTGTCAGGGCTAGAAGAAGAAGAAGACTTTCTATTTGAATTGAAGCGCTGCTGGCAGGATGCGGCGCCCAGGTATACATGGCATGAAAGCATTTGCATGATATCTTACTTGTAGCTAGATGAAGAGAAGCCGGAAAACTAATTTTAAGATTTGAATAAAAAAAACTTTTTGGAATAAAGTAATTAATCATATTATAAAAGCGATCTTTAGATATACCATATATGAATACTTAGGCTAGTCTTTGAGCATCGATGGCTTCCTTTTCTAGCGTCTTTATGAATGGATAGCTTGAACCAGAGCTAGAGAAGGGAAATGAGTCGATAACATTTTCAGTTTTCTATCGTTTGATAGTTTAATTTTTTCCATTTTCTTCTACACACGTCTTTTCATAGGGTATCTGCTGAGCCATAACTTACTTCAATGCTATCTAGCTAGCTTCAATTTGAAATCTCTACATTTTAGAGCTCACGCAACCAACGCCCATTATTAATGCTTCCTCAATATCGAGCAGAAATTAAAAGTTTACTAAATGAAAGAGTTAAACTAATTGATTTCTCGTGTCTGCGGTGCAGGGCGGTGGCCAGGTGGGCGGGTAAAACTACCACTAGGAAGTGCCCGAAAAAGAAAAACAAATTTAGCTAAATTCAAAACAACAAACACACAGGTGGCGGGCAGGTGAAAATGCCAGCATAAAATAAAAGGAAATACAAGGCAAGTAAACCAAAGTCAACAATGGAAAAACAATGCAAATAAAAGGCTGAGGCGAGGTACGTGATAAACGCGACAATTTCGTGTCATAAACAAATTATTCGACAGGATTGCATAAAAGGAATGAGACAGCATGTGAGAGAGTGAGCGAGAGAGAGCGAGTGAGCAGACAGATAATGAAACAGTGAGCGAAAACACACCAAGTAGCCATAATAAATGATTAAATAAGCGTAATTATCACCTTTATGCTGTGACGCCGACAGCAACGCCAGCAGCGACGTCGACGTCAATGCCAGTGGCGACAGCGGCGTTGACGTTGACGTTGACGTTGACGTGACTACAAGGCGATGGCCCAAAAGAATGATGGCGGCACGCATAGCCTGCTATCACTCTCCCGCTCCCTCCACCTCTCACTACACCACCCTCTCTGCTCCCACTCACTCTCGCTCTGCCTCTTTTTTCATGAGCGCGACATTAAAACAAATTTTATTACTTTAATTACTTTATTTACATTTCGCCAAATGGCAGCGAGCGACGTCAGCGTCATGCATTAAACGGGATAGCGGAAGCTAACGGGGGCATGCAAAAGGAGAACGAAAAATGTGAAAGAGAAAAAACACAACTAAGGAAATTTTATAATGTGTGATTAAATAGAAAATACCTTGTGTTTACTTAACTAAAAAATATACATGAACTTAACAAAAATATAAATATATTTAAATATAAAATGCAATACAATTACATATTTATTTATTAAAATAAAGTGTTGATGAATTTCTTTTAAATATATATGTAAATATAGAATTTAATCTAAATAAATTTAATAAATAAATTTATAAAAATATAAGTGCATTTTATTAATTTATATACATGCATTTAATTTAATTATATTTTATTTATTATTTTACTATACATTACATTATTATTATTACTTATTTTTATAAATTATAATATACGTGCATTTAATTAAAATTCTACATGAATTTAATTTAAATATATTTGCAATTTAATTTAATTGATAAATATATTAATACTACTATTTATTTATTTAAATAAATTTAATAAACATATAATTGAATTTAATTAAATACTTTTTATTGAACTAAAATCCGCAGAAATTTAATTTAAATATATTTAAATATAAATTTGAATTTCAATATATAAATATTTACTTAACTAAAATATATATAAAATCGAAATATGAACTCTGTTTTCGCATATGTCCAAATGCCGAACTGCGTCAGTTAAACC